GCCGCTTCAAAAGTATGTGCACACTCACAATTTTCCATTTCAAAGGTAACTGAAGAACCTACCGTGACGAAACCATTCTTAAACGACTCCTCGTAGTCGATACCCTTTACAGGAATTTAGGAGGCCCTATTGATTCCTGATCTCGGTTATATTTTTGCTTTTTGCTAAGTGTGCACATACTTTTGAAACAAAGAAAAAATTCCCCTTTAATAAAAAATTATGTTAGCATATACGATGTTTTCTCAGAGAAAGTGTTAGTAGGTTATCGCACACAAGGAATCGAATGGTGAAGGTCACAGGTTATACAAAGCAATGGTATCCCCAAAAAAACAAAGTGTTTGGTGTGCACATACTTTTGAAACACATTGTAGTAATAGAAATTGAAATGTTTTCCTATGGGCGTGCTCCAGAGCCCCCCTGTCGGGACGGACGCCTTTGAGGCTTGTTTTTTTGTGCTGTCAGAAATCAGCTAGCTTTCTTCTTGTAGGGATAGAGTTTTGAGCAGTCTTTAATGCTTTTTCTCAGGGAGAGCTCTTGATATCCAGCTTGTGTTGATAGGTCTTAAGGATTGTCCGAGTGAAATTCTCTCCAATAATGATACAATTCCTTCATGTCGCACTGTGCCACACGTGGTCTTCGTAGCCTCACCATTGTAGTAACCTGCTCCCTGATGGTGTTTTGTGAGTGGGAACCAAAAATACATGATAGTAATACATCAGAAATAGAATATTTAAAAAACGGCGAAGTTTTGCTAGCGCTATACAGATTGCCCGTAAGTTGCGTCCACCCTTATTACCTCGGATTGTCCATACTATCGTCAAGAGGATCTGAATGTCAGCGTACGAAACTTAGTGTTCAAAATGTTCCGGGGAAATTGTTTTGACCTCATTTTAGAACAAACTGCGGTTGAGCAATGTTGGAATACCCTGTTAGACTTCTTTCTAATGACGAGTAGTCTGTGAACCTTTGACGTCATTGCTGCAAGCCCTTTTTTTCGATCCTTACACATTCGCACCACCGTACCAGTGATTCTGCGTGTGACCAGTGAAACTCCTCATTCAAATTTATTCCTAATTGGGCTGAAAGAGGTGAAAATAAATTTTCGCAGCTTTATACAAACTGTTATAGACCAAACTTTATACAAGCTTTATACAAACAGTAAGTGCCAGAAAACATAGTTCATGCTCGATGTTTTGCCCCCGAGTGAACACTTTGTCCATTCCATAGACAGACTGATTCCTCCTGTATATTGTTTGCCTTCTTCCCTAGGATTAGACGCTTTCTGCCTTTACGTATTTAGAACGAACGATCACTATCGGCTCACCCACAAGCCGAAAGAAAAACTGCGATATCCTAGTTCATGCATCTACCTTATTTGTGGCAGCTATCGTTTCTGAAGGTCTTCACCTTTGAAAACAAAACGGTCCCGAAACAAAAGGTACTAGATGGCTAGAGTTGCGAATGTGCTGGTGCGGAGAATCTCCTGCTATGAGTGTCTTAGCATTACACTGAAGTAGACTACAAATAATCCATGGAGTAATTGCTCTGCCCACCTCTAATCGTAAGTACAACCCACCTGAGCCAAAGTCAGGTAATTGCTTTTTATTCCATTGGTGGAACAGGTACTAGTTACTCTGGAGTACGACTAGTTGCACTGGAAAGACGTCCAAGACTCAAAAAAAGTCTGTAATTACGTTGAGGTTACTATTAAGTAGCACTTCCATGTGTTAGTATCCAGCTCCCTTCTCTTGGGGTTGGCTCCTGTTTCGTTTCAGTGGACTACCCTCATAATCTGGTAACTTCTCAGAGATGATGTTAGTTGAGTGACCTATGCGCGTTGTTGGGGCAAGCACGGGGCCATTAGGGGAATTACGCGTAATGGTTCAGCGGCAAGAGTGTCTTGAGTTTTGAGGCTAATCTCATTGATCGCTCGTTTTTCGCTCAACAATGGTCCGTCCGAGCTATGGCCGGGTTTGACCATTCTCGCAGTTAAGTGTGTCTAATTTAAGGTCTCTAGGCAGTTGCGAACCCCTCCATTTGTTACTGTAGAGCATTATGCCAGGTCACTTTAAGTTATTTTGTGCCCCTATGTCGTTATTTTTACTCAAAATATACCTGAATCACAAAACGAATAAACTTTTCGCTAATTTTGCTCAGAAATTTCGTTTGTTTCAGATTTCTGGACCAGTGAAACAGCGCTCATGAGGTCACCATCCCGGGCTTCGGATATGAGCAGCACTCAGTCGACATCATTCATGAAGCAAGTGATCCAGCTCTATTCTTATCTCCTTTCTCAATCTTTACAACTCTGCCTAAGCAATGCCAGAAAAATCTCTTCTATATTAACTTTCCAGCCTTGATGAATGTTTGCCGAGAATCGCCCCCACGCTTCAACGCCCATCGGGGTATAGGAACAATATGCCGAAGCTCGGGAAACTTTCGGTAAGTCTTCTCTCTACAAGCTGAATCAAATGCGACGGCCAACTGTTAGGGTTCCATAGGAAGGTCATGCTCAGAAAGGGGTAAGGGCGATTATGAGATATGCAGGTGCGTAAGTGGGAAGCGCCCGAGCACAGCAGGTTTTTGTCACTCCGGTGTTAATTAATTGGAGCATCGGGTTGTAATTGTTGTAACTGGGTTGCATGGAATGATGAGTACACTTACACTGCTGCTGGCCAGTGATTCATCGGTGTAGGAAAGAAGCTTTTAAGTTGCACTTGTGCTTTTGAACAGCTCGATGGGCCATATATTTATACCGACTTCGCTGATCCTTTTGAGCAGTCTCTTTCGTTATTTTCAACCTCATGAAGCAAATCACGCTGGATCCATTTCTGCAATGCGCTAAACCTCGAAATATCTGTGATGCACAATTCATCCACCAGTCTAATCTATCCTTACGTTTAGTCGCAATTCGAAATTCTCCCCAATTTGCTTTTTCTATATTTTCAAAGGTGGGGTGAATAGGCGTGGGCGGAAGTGGTGTAGTGGCTAGTGGCGCACCATCTCATATGCACGGTCACGGGTTTAAATCCTGGTTCGACATCCGCCTAGGCCCACCAAGCTTTCAATCCCTTCGGGGTCGGTTAGTTGGTACGAGACTCATCTGGGAGCACTGACTTGTGCATCCGCTAGCCACAGCAAGTCATTGTCTAGGTCACCTACGCATTCAATATGCCACTACGATTCTGAATGGAAGGCGAATGTGTGGGCGCATCCCTCGGATGGGATTGATTAAGGCTTCAAGACTTTTTATCCTTCGAGTAGTGCGTAGATGTCAGTTGATTGGATTCTCGAATAAAATGCTCTGGTTCAATTTTTGCTTGTGGTCCTTATTATCCCATGAATTGGATGAGCAGCCAGTCTCTTGCCTCATCAGTGTTCTTCACTTGGAATGTGATTTGCACACGGATTTTGCATACATTTCGGGCCATGTTTCCTGTTTTCAGAAGCCAAAGAAGCGTTCGTCAACAGGACGCGACTTGGGTGTTACGGGTGTGACGCCATTTGCTCTTCAGTCAGAGTCCCAAAGAGATATGGCCGGCAACCAAAACGATGTAAACTCGAGCTCGCCACCAATGAAGTGTGATCGCGCAGAAGGTTAGCAGGTTTTGAGTGAATTTTACAAAGAAGTTCCTGCGTTATCTCTAGTTATGAGCTGTATTCATGGAACTTCTTCTACGACCTCGGATTGAAATTTCGAGGCGATTAGTGGTCGCATTAAGAGAGAATGTTTCGATGCTGGGCTTCGGTGAAAAATAGCCACCCTGAAGCTTCCCTCTTTTTAGAACTAAAGGGAAACTATCGGATTAGTATGTAGAGTCCAGATATGAGTGCTCATTCAGTTACCAGAAGACCTTCCGCAACCTGCCAAGCATACCAGGTGAGACGGAAGGTGTGCTGGTAACCGACTGAGCACTCATGTCTGAAATCAAGGGGATGCTTCCATTATAGCTTGAAAATGAACGCTTAATTGAATACCTTGTAATACAAATATGCTTTTGACAGAAGTGTTGACCATTGCCCTTCCATGCAAAACCTCGATGTGCCCGTTCAAAATCGTAAATCTTTTTGTCGAATCCGGGAACGTTGGTCGATCGCGATCGATGCCTTTTTCGTCGTTGTGTCCACAAGTGCGATCTAAGTAGCTCTTTTTTTTCAGAGTCGCCTGGCGAAGCTGGTCACATTTCGCGATCCGAACGACGAACTCAGTCAGTGCGCACGAAAAGTGGTATGTATCCACTACTAAGCAGTTGTTTGTTTGACAGTTGACGCTTTTTCGATAGATTTTTCGGCAGATTTCTCTTTGTTTTGTTGGCTAATTTGCTATGCATAGTTTCTATTCGATAATGTCTCGACTGTCCTTCTTGCATCTCCTTTCCTCTAGATTTTGCTACATTCCTCCTTCTTCTATAACCTCTGTCCTTTTTCTTGAGCTCTAGGGCGTTTTTGAATAGATTATGTATATTTTATCTCAGCCCCGCCCTCCTCAACACACACCCCGCCCGCTATGAGGGTTACATCATTCGTTGTTTGGTAGCCTCTAACCAATTCCTTCCTCGAGTTCAGAGCTTCTAAATAGAGTCATGAATTTCTGACCTTTGCTCTGCTCACCTCAGCCGATGACCGCTGCCCTTCAATCTGGTAAAATGGGATCGTTCACTATTTCTGTTCAGCCTTCTATCTCAGCTACTAGTGTAGTACATACGTGAACGTTGAGGTAGAAGTGCTGTGAAGTAATGCGGATGACATTGGCTTTTGAGGCACACCTTTCCCTTCGCGTCACAGTCACCTACACTGCTTCATGACAATGTCGAGGACGCCTTTCTTCTCAGACCCATTATGTTTTCCTTTTGGAACTCCTTTCAACTTGACCACACATTCTCATTTTTGCTGTTGTGCAGAGTTGGTCGCAATATTACCACAGATCAGCTGTACAGACCAAGCTACGTTCAGATGAAGCAATCTTCCAGAATCTACTTCGCCAGTGATAATGACATGCTTTCTTTCTCGCTATCAGCAAAGATTTCCTATATTTTAATGTCTCCCATCAGAGGCCTACAACCAAAGATCCCAGTGATTCTTTGAAGTCTTCTTCATCATTATTGAAAAGAGCGTTAATTGGTTATGCGGATAGCGCCAGTCGTTGCAAAATCAAAATTTCATTCAGTCATTATCAAAGGATAAGGTTGGAAGACGATGGTTTTGTCGATAATAAATCCTGTTTACGGGTCGACCCCGCACTGGCTTCCATAAAAAAACCTTGGCGTTCTGAATGCATATTTGACCTGTACAATGAATTGTGGTGACCAGCCATGTGCATGTCAGAGCTTCAGTTTTCCCGGACGGGTCTGGTACCGATTTCAAGATTCATGAGGGATGGAAGGCTTGAATGGCCTTGGCGGCCAACGATCCGGGATTCGATTCCCGCACCATGTCTGCTAGTGTGCGCCACTTGCCACTACGCTACCTGCGCCCTTGCTAGTTTCGTTAAAAACTTATACATCCAGCCATTTGTTATTTGATTATTGGTTACAAAATCACAACTCTGTTATGGGCCATAATGACACCGGTGACACTAACAGATAGAAAATAAAAGAAAGATAGCTATTCCCTCTATGGTAGAGAGAGGGATTCAAGAGTTATGTCAAAAGAAATTGGAAAATCTGTGGGAAGGAAGTGGCTGTCTGAGCCACAAACTCAGCTATCAAGCTACTCGATCTTGTTACAATACCCACGCTGACAGCACAAAAAAAAANAAAAAAAAACGCCGAAAAAGGTGCAAAATTGCGTTTTTGTTGATAGCCTGGTCTTTTTTCCCGTGGAGTCTAATTTGGGTTCAGATTTCATGAACATAGTTCTACTGGCTTTTCTTTGAGATCATCGATCTGCTTCTCCGTCATCTGTCACTCTATTGTAGCTGTCATGCACATGTTGACGTGCGAAGGCATAACTGATCAGTAACAAGACGGATGAGCGTGCCAAATGATCCAGGACATTCTGTTCCGTCCCAGTCGACTTTGTATATTTTTATTTGTTGATGTTTGATGCAGCAGGTCGTGCCAAACAATAGAGGATTGTGATTATTCTTCCCTAAAATTTTCGGCATCGTCAGCTGTGGACTGGGAATTGCATGAGTTTCAATAAAGGGCAAGCAGATTTAGGAATGGTCGCCTTCTTGATTGCTTCCCTTCAACAGAGAGGGTCTCGATTTTCCGATTATAAACCAAAATTTTATAGGAATGGGACCTTAGCCTGTTATGGCCCAGGCGCGCGACTCGTTCATGTGCCGTAACTGTTCTTGATTGGTGTCAGTTATGAGATTTTAAAGTTGACAAATTTGGTGGGCACTAATTACATTCAGCCGTTCGGTATATCAGTCAAATGTAGTGTTTTTCATAAAAGATTCAATTCGGACAGTTCTCAGTCCAAGCTCTCGAGTGGATCAAGTATCTTTCGAAATCTTTCTCATTCACTGCTATATCGTCAGCATTCGTCTTTACAGTGAATCCGCCTCCTGTGTCTGGTTCGTCATCCACAGGACGACGATCGTTCCTTAAGACGTTGTTTTTCGGCGGCGGTGGCAGTTCAAACTCTTCTCAGAATCGTCGTGATCCTATCAATCAACTTGCACATTGTCAATACTTCGTTCCGTTCGAGAAGGAAACAGTTCGGAGGTAGGTTTCAACTTTCTATTTCTTCTCTTTTCATCTTTTTTTCGCAATTATATGCTTTTGATAATCAATCAGTCTTTCCTCCATTGTTTGTTTTCCTCTGTAGGACAGATGACTGCTTTACTGGTCATCTGCATTGTTAGGTGTTGCGAAGCGTTGTCCCTGTTGACTTTCTCCTCTAACTCGAACTTTTTTATCCCATATGTCATTTATACCGAAACTACAGTGTACATAACTTCATGCAGGTTCATTTTAATCTTTAATGCTTCCGAAAATAGTTTGCAAGGGTACCACCTCTCTGTATGAATCCGCAAGAAAAATGGGACTGGTTGCAAAGTATTTGCTCAGCCCATTGTTACCACAGCGATCAATTAGGTCATGACTGTTTGTTGCAATATTTTCACCGATGGTTGTCATCAGCTGACGAAAAAAAAGCATTCCGATTCTGGTTGGATGGTTTAATGTGCCGTTTTCGTGGTCAGCTCGCGCAGCGATTTTCGCGGAGGTGGTCGTTGTGGAGCAAAACCACTCTTCAAGGTCTGTCACGTCCGGTTTTTTGCTTAATAAGGACATGACAATTGTCCCACATTCATCCCGTTCCTCCTATGACGTGCCTGTATAAAACTGAGCCATCAAATTTTCGATGGATTTGTTGGACTTGTGTCAAAAGCACTATATAGCACGGATGTAACAATTTCTTTAACCTTTAGCCAGTAATTATTCATGGTTTTATTTGTTTTTGCTAACGACCGTCTTATTTCTTATGAGCACTTTACTGCGCCGAAGCTTTTATGCCCACAAAATCGCTCTGTGATACTCAGTCGTGTAGGAGCAAAAGGTGATGATATGACCTAGAAGCAGATGGATATGGATGGCTCACCGATCAAATGCTTAGGTATTGGATAACTAGTTGTTCCTAGTTTGATCTTAATAATGCAGAGATTGCAGATGGGCTGTGGTGGTGTACCGGCAAGTGGCGCACTATTACATACACACCCATAGTTAGGGGATCGAATACGGATTGGTATACCCATAGGCCAACCAAGGCTTCCATGCCGGCGACAGATACGGTACGCTTAGCTGTACCAGACTCGTCTGGGAGGATGAAAGGATTCATTAGGACATTGCTGGCTACCACAAATCATTGTGTAGCCCACACGCGGTACAGAATGTCGCTACGATTCTGAGTGGATTCGAATGCAGGGCTTATCCCCAAAACAGGGTAGCTACACAGAACATTTAATTCCTTATCCTTTGATGTAAAGCTTGAATCAGCTTCAATCTGTTAGATCAGCACTCTTGAAGCTTGTTCGGGGTGGTATGTACGTTTGAAAGTTTCGTTCGTTGCTTACAGAGGAGGGCAGCCACCTGCTGACGGCTTGCAGTCATTTATCTTCCACTCACAATCTGTTCGTGGGGTGATGCAAAATCTTGGGCAGGATCTCGCTCTATTGCAACAAACTTTTCTCGGATCTGAGTGCATGCCTTCGACTGTGGTTTTGTTTCTGCCTCAAGAATATTCCATTTTTGCCGACTAGAGCATATTTTTGGGTATATCAACCTGTACTCCCGATAAGTTTCGTCCCGTATGATCCTACTTCTTCTTGAGATCTTCTGGAATATTATTGGCTGGATAATACTTCTTCTCTGGAACTGCTGTTTCAAGATGACGTCACTTTGTTTATGGTTTGTTCATTTATCATTCAAAAATGTAAAAATTTATGCCATGTTTCATCCCGTGCGCGCGAATGGATCGCAAAGCCTACTCAAGAGCATTCGCTACACAACAACTCATAGAGCAGTTCACATCTTCTTTAGGGAGCCAGGAAGTGTTCGAGGTGATGAAAAGGGGGATTAATTCGGGTATTTGGAGTTCGAGGTGGGAATTGGATGTAACACAACTTTGTGTCATGTGTCATCAATATATAAATTTATTATATTATTGTCAATTATATACAGTAGCGCTCAAAAGTATTCGGCCAACTTTAACTTGCCATAACTTTTTTCCCAGTGGAGCAAATCGCATGAAATTTTGATATGTTTAACTGAAGCATCTTTCACACTATCCAACACTATTTGACTGCAAAGCAGCAATGCCCACATAACTAATGGGAGGCGTTTGTAGACTGTGCTGCTGACGGCTGCACTTATTCGCACCTTATGTGCGTTTTTCTCCTATACTATGTTCGACATTAGCGCCCGTACACTTTGGACATAGCAAAAAAGGAAGAGATTCTAAAAGCACCAGTGCTTGTATTTCCAGTTGGTTTTTTATTGAAGCCCTTTTGGATATCTGGAACATGATCAGATTGCAGGTTAATAGAGGTGAATATTCACATTACACCAATGCTACACATATTGAAATTTCATTTTATTAGATCCAGTAGGAAAGAAGTTATGACTGAAAAGTATGAGCGAAGAAGCATTTGGCCGAATACTTTTGAGCGCTACTGTATATACTCTTCTCTTTTTCAATCCGCATATCTTGTAACAGAAGCCAGAGCCTGGCTTTACTGGGTTCACGCACGACACACTCTTCGTGCTCACCCCTTCAGTGAAAGTTCTTCTCTGAAGTGATGTTGACTGTGCAGCCTCACCAAATGAATGTGTTTCGTGTTTATCCCATTTCAGCGGCTATTCTTTTCCCGTTCATCCCTACTTGGAATAACAGAAGCTGTGCGATTTGGAATGGGGCATTGCTAGACTGATCGTTGATAAGAAGGGTGGGGTCTGCGTATTTTTCGACGAAAGAGTTATAAAGCTGTTAGAGACCGAAGAGGGTCCTGATAGCCACTAGAATCAACCTTCTCATTCCATTTGTTTTAAATTTTTCAAGGCATCACCTTGTTCCGACTTGTCTAATCGGTCTTTCCATACCTCAAAACCCAACTAATTAGAAATTTTTTAAATGTGCCAAAGATGCAGTCCAAGGCAGTAAGTGAAGTGTTGATACTGCTAATTAACATCACGATTTTTCTGTTTTGTATAATATTCAGTTGCTACGTCTAAAAATTGGTTGATTGCATTTCAGCTCAAAGTCTGCTTTCGAAATCGGATCACCTTCTAAAGTTGACGATTGGTCGAAAAAGCATCATGCGAATCAGATGAGCACCTTCAAACCGAGCTATGACGAAGGTTGGTTGATCTATTTGCTCCTGCTTTCGTCAATTTTATCGCCCAAATTATATATTTCATATAAATCCGTCTGCTTTGCTCCCTTTACAAAGTTGTGTTGTCTTTTTTTTTTGCTGCAGACAGAAAAAAAAGTCACTTGGCAACGCTCTGATCATCATGTATCTCTACGCGGAAAGTGTGAGCAATGGGAATTTGATGAGAATTTAGTGGAGCTACATTTGTGAGGCCTTTGATGAATTCTCCCACCTTGGTCTCGGCCTTGGAGTACAATAGCTTCTGATAAATCATTGGAAGCACTGTATAAAAACACCGCTAGACACTTTTTGTGTCAAAAGCAACAATTCAGGATAAATGATGGACTAAAGTTTTCGGTGTTGGACCTGTCGTTGAGGGGTGTGCTGCAATTTGTTATTCTGATACCGAGTGCTTATCTGCACAGCGAATATCTGGTCCCACTCGAGCAACTCCGAATGATGGGGGATGAATGGATGTCGAGCAATTCCGGACACTAGATCCCATTACCATGGCTGTGGTAGTGGCGCCACATGACATTACCTCGGTACGCTCTGCATACGGTGGTTTCAACGGCGTCGTAAACCTTCATTTTCAACCCGAATTCTTTCTTCAAACATCTGTGCTTGAAATATGAGTGCAATTAGAGCTTCAGTTGTTCTCGCAACCCCCATGGTTGAATTTGATGAAATCTGTTTCATAAGGAGCGTAATTTCCTTGCAGCCAGTGACTGGTGCTTACGTTTTTGCTATGTGGTCATTACCTTCTGGCGACTATGATTGTGTGATTGTTTCACTTCAACCCATTTCAAAGAATAACTCGCGATCTTAAACAATCCGCTCTGAGGACGCACACGTCCCATACATTCGACATTTTTTGCTCCAGTTAAGAATGACTTTCACGTAACATTAGGTGAACTATGGGACAACATCGTGGGCATCAGACTAGTGCAGGAGCACCGTACAATCGAGTAGGAGGGATCTAACAAATATAGTTTGTTGAACGAATCTTTCAAGTTCTGATTCCTCAAGTCGGTCTTGATTTCCGTTTAGTCGAGATAAGGATTTTACAGCACAGTCTCTAGTCTTAATGGTGAAGAGGAGCGGTACTGCATGTCGATTGCTTCACGTCTAGGATGCGCCATGATTCTGTCTTTTATCGAATGCCAAGTGTATTTGAAATCTCATTTATCATAAGCAAATGCTATGTGTAGGCCAGCAAATATCATGGCCGATCTCCAACGGTTTGTAATGGCTCTACTAGTGACACTTCTTTATTTGGAACTCATTCAATCCACGTCACTTTTTCAGCCACGTAAATATACATAAAATGTCATGAGCTGGAAAGCAGTACAACAGAGAACCTAACGTTAAGAAGCAGTTCTTTCATTGAATTTTTAAAAATTTCTATGTTCAACAGCTCAAACGTACTTTATTTTAACGTATTTCGTACTATTCTTAAAGGGAACCCTTAACACCCAAGTACTGGTCTTCACCCCTTCCTGCTCCCTTCCTGATGAACCTTTTTTATTGTGATGTAGAAAGTCTACTGCTCATATTGACCTTCTAACTGCTACGGATTACTTTCTATGAGTCATAACCTCCCTGCTTTTTATCTTAGAATCGACCATATTTGGATTCTTTCAATCACAGAATGACCAAACCTACCGCAAAAGAAAAGGAAGAAAGTAGTTGGAGAAAAGGAAGGGTGTAGTTCATGCGAAGGGTGTAGTTTGGACATAAGAGCCCTACTGGTAATATAATACAGCATGCAGTGTCCTATCCTGCGATCGATGATCAGCGAGACGACAGGTGGTACAGGTTATCCTATCCTGCAGTATCTACGATGTGAGCATAGACTGAGGCGGGGTTTTACACATTACAACGCAGAAGTTAGCAAGAAAATCAGCGTTTTTGTGCGCGAATAGGGACGAAAATAGAATTTTGCAACGTTTTTCTCCCTATTGTACTCCTGATATTGACAATAGCCTCATCCTCTGCGAGTGCGAAGTGGACTGTGTCTCGAAAATGGATTTCCTGATCATTTCCAGGAACCACGAGGGGGTGTTGATGTTTTTCTCTGTGAAATACGGTATTGGTGAATTGCTGAACGATTATGGTGGTCTTTGGAGCGATTTTTCCCTAATTCGATCAATATTGTTTACCTGTTCAGTGGTGATGTCAGCTCGCGTGTGTCCGTTACCGATGCGGCGTGAGCGAAGTGACCTTTGTGCGTCGTCCGTCATGCGTTTGGCGAGACACACGGAACGCAGTCCTGGACCCGCATGTACAATGAGCACGGCCATAAAACCGCTGCAAACGAAGGTTCCAAAACGCCAGCCATTACGGCCGCCTGATACGGCGTGCGATCCAAAGACGATAAGCAACTGTATTGATGAATTGAGAAGAAGGCGGTGAGTCGGAACGGTTTTATGATCTTTTCGTATTTTGATGTTTTCATCGACATGTTGTTTTGCTATCTTCCCTTCCTCTTCTATTTCTAACCTTTTCTTTCTTTCTTCCTTGTCCAGAATTTGTGCCTAATTCGTTTTGGGCTATCTAACTCGTTTCTGAAGATATTATTTTATTATTAATTACAGTCATTATTGCAGACTCCAATTTACAAATGAGAAGGCGGCAGAGCAGCCGTCGCAAACTAGCAGCCCACAAATTTCGCTGAGGTGAGGCTTTTTTCCAATTAGAAATGTCATAATATGAAAATGATTTCGTCAATTTTGTTTTCTACACTCAGATTTTCCCACCGTTTAGTTTTATATTACTTTGTTGATTTACTTTTGTTGTTATCATCGCAACGAAATAATTCGTGCTGTTTTTCTGAAAAGCTCAAGAGCCTTAACCATCTCCTGAAAAAGAGAGATATGATCGAGAAACTGGTTTCTTTGGTGTTCGATTGGATGATAAATGATACTGTTGCCAGGTGGTTCATGTAGGGAAAAAAAGTTCTATGCCTCACAATGGGACTAGGTTTTTCTAAAAGTGTGTCAGGTCGACATTTCATTCCCCATGTTGCAATGGGTGTAACATATGGAGTACACCATGAGTCGGACGCTGGACTCAAACACATACATTCAGTGTCTGCTGAACGTTTTTCTGAACGTGGTTAAATTGAATATTGGTCTTTTCACCAAGTTCACAATTCTTGACAGCATCCTAAAAGCCAAATGGTTTTTCGAGTAGTTCTATGGTAACCTGGTTGATGGCTCCACAACTCAAAGGCGTGATGCGTTGATGCGCTCCGTTTTAGGGTTCTCGTATAGTTGTAAGAGGCACTTTGCTGTCTTGCTTCGTCACTGTTCCCATAGATGTCTAATTTACTAAAAAAACTTTAAAATGGTTTATTTTTCCGATAAAGCTGCTTCCTGTAACCGCACTCGTTTCGTCATTCGTTGAATTTCTGTTCTTGCGATGCCTTAACCCCCATTTTGTAGTCAAATGTGTGGAGAGGGAATGAGCAGATTTCTCGTCGATGTTTGTGGGTATCTGAGCCTTTCTAGGATTCCTTCCTCTCGTTTCAGACCGTGTCCTGATTGAACGACGACGTATAAAGTTTTTTGGGCCAAGGCAATCCTAAGACTTTTACCTTGCAGTCAGTTCCAGGCGAGGCTGTCGACCTCTTCTCACTCTTCTCTCGCAGTCGCTGCTTCTGTTTGCAACTTGAATTCAGGTGGAACTATTGTCCTTAGGTGTAGCATACCTACCCACTCACCATTGCCATTTATTGAGATACATGGTGCTCTTGCGTTTTATATTGCTTAGTTCCTTTCTCGATTGCTTCGGCAACAATAATTGATTGGTAGATTTGAAATTCATTTTCGGTTTCTATCGAACAACTGTTGAACGAAGCAAAAAAAGTTTTTTCTCTGCCCACATCATCTATCAGTCTTATACTGAGATCTCGTTTCTGTTTCTGTTTGTTTGAGCATATTTGGAAACATCTTGCAGCGTCGTTTCAGCTCCGTCTGTAGGTACTGTAAGAGTGTTTCAAGCAGTTCCTTCAAAAATTCTCAAGAATCTGTCTCTCGAATCTACCCACTTCTTTGATCTTCGAAAGGGACCTTGATTTTTGATAGTTTGTGTTCCTGGCTCACAAGCAGGCTCAACGGGGAATACAACAAAAATGAAATTCCTGAGAAATGACATGATTACCTAATTCATATCCACTTTGGTTAGTTAATTCACTTGAAAATCAGCAAAAAAAGAGAATGAGTCGGTCCTTGCTGGATTACATCGCATTCGACGGGGCGCTTTTTTCAAAAAAGCCAGTTCAATGGTGTTCATTTTATGATGTTCATATGAACTGATGTGGTCATATTTATGTAAGGATTCATCCCTTTTCTTTCCACCAGCTTGTCTGAACACGACTACGTTCGATTAATCGCTTTGGAAGCAATAACCCTTGCACAAGCTCATACTTCTGCAGAATTTGAACTTCCTTGACCATCTGTGTAACCCAAGGCCGTCATCGGCTTTGTGCGCTTTCTAATGATTCCGTTCAGAATATCTAAGCTTTGGCTCTACCATATTTTGTCTTTTGACGGTATAAGGCGGTGCGATTCATTTCCTGTTTTCGTCGCTGCAAAGAGAAACCGTTCATTCTGACCTTCAGTCCAAAATCGTTCGCTGGATTACTAATCTGAAACCTTCTTCAGCTATTGTTACTTAAACTAAGCCAACGCGAAGGACGAACAATAAGACCCCTCTCCTGCCCTCCATGCACAGCCTTTCGATTGTTACTGATCGACTAATAACCATTGAAGTCGTTTACTGTAAATTTCCATTTCATTGAGACCCATTTTCTGTAAGGTTAGTCGCTATGAAATCTAAGTGAAGAAAAATATAAGTTTCCAGACGCAAACGAAACTCGGCCAAGTAAGGAAATACTTTTTGTCGCCCGTACTGCAATGAAAGGCCAAGAAATTCCAAAGATATCCTATTATTGGATTTATAGATGTCCAAGAGAGCGGTTTTTCAATCGAAATAAACTTTTTCGCTGCATTCTAGGACCAGTTTTTCTATTCTATATTGTGAAAAACTGTGCGAAACCATTTGGCAAATCGACTAGCATGCTGCGTGGCAGAGCAATGCTGATGAAGGGTTGCTGGTCACTAGCATTTCTCTGGGCAAAGAAGCGAGCCCAGCACAGGATCTTTTGGAGTCCTTTGTGCATGCTTGTAGCACTACCTGCGCTTTGTCTTACCATAATAGGTAAGAAATTTCCAAGCTTCACAATAAATGTTACGAGTAAAAGATCCATCGCTTCGCAGAATAGCCGAAGAAAGTTCGCGGGTTCCTGGTCAAAAACCCATGGCGATCTGAAATTCTTTTTAAGTCAGTATGGTACTTCTTCAAGCCTTTCAAGTTAGAAAACCCGGGCACGCCAAGGTTCCGGCAGCTTCGCCTCCATGAGAGTGTGAAATGGTCCGCAGTCTACCATCTAATCGTCTGGTCTAGTCGCTCACATCTTGAAAGGCTTGAAAAAGAACCATTCTGATTCAACCAATCATGCCAATATTGCAAGAAGGTCGAACATGGTCTATTCTTCGGAATCTTTCTTTTTTGAATGGGGAGGTGGGGGGGGGGGGGGGGGGG